AAGAAGGGGTGGTACAGAGCTAAGCGGCCTTTGCCGGTATTCCCAAAATTGTATCCTTTAAAAAAAACAAAACAACATTATTATTGTTCATAGTTAAAAATTAGATATGTCCCCTTTTTCATTTTTCCGAGAATTCTTTAACCGTTAAAGGATTCTAAAGTGTAACTAAAATAAAAGTAAATTTGGTGAAATTGATTTGATTTTTAATTTTATCAGATTAATGTATATGATTGGCTGTAAAAAGAAGTAAACGATTGGTTATACCGTTGTTGATGCCAAGAGATGTGGTTAGCATGGCTGATGACGTCACAAAACGTGACGTCACAGCGGAACTTTAAAGTCATTTTTCGGTAAGTTTGACACCTTTCCGAAAATTTTTTTAAACCACGGGTTGGTGCCCGCACTCTACGTCACACTATTTGCCACGCCTGGTAACTGGCTATGTTTTTAGAGGTTATATGAAGGACATTAATACGTCTAAAAACATAAAACTTCAAAACTAATATGAATACGTCTAGGATATAACCTCTCACAGCAAACGCATAGACCATAACAACAGCTGGACGTGGAAAATGGTGTGACGTAGTTTGCGGGTAGGCTGTCACAACAATGGATGTAGCAGTCCTGTTAGATTCTACTGTCCTTGAGTTTGTAGTAGTATTTAAAAATTCATTATCAACTCTGGCATTATGTGCTGGTGCTCCGTCATATTGAAAATATATCATTTGAGACATATTTAGTGGCAAATTGTCGACCAAAGGCTCAATGTGCTGCCTTAATATTTAGTGGCAAATTGAGGTATTTCCCTGAGCTTAAGTTTTTATGGTAGATACTATATGCCAAAATTCTATTATCTAAAAGGGCGCACCATACATTAAACCCCAATCTTCTTTGAACACTCAGAGACTTCATCGGTCCAGATAACATTTTGAACAAACAGCAGATTATTTTTTTTTTAAATATCTACAAAATTCTAATCTTCGATTGACATCTCCGGCACGTTTAGCCCCGCTTTGTATGGTTTATACTTATTTTTCTTTCATATTCGGGAGTAGCGGCTTTTGGGTCAGACGTCTTGTTGCAATTTCTCTTGCAGGTCATTTTGGTATGTTTTTGTATGTGGTTTGGGAAAGGACCAAATATCTATTAAATTTTCTGCTAATCGGCTGAAGGTTTTTTCGTGCGGTTGTCTTCTTTCTGGATATCTTGTGAAGTAAAATTCCGCGGCTAACGTCGCATTCTTATCTGATATAGCATATAGCATTCCATCATGTTACATTTTTCATAATTTTCGAAATTCATTGTAAAGTTTTATTCAGTTTTGTTATACTTTGACACTTAATATGCTGGTGCATCGTACCAGCACATAATGCCAGAGTTGTTATCGAATTTTTAAATACAAACTTTGGTAATTATTTGATACATTATGTTCCATCATAGTATGTATGGTTATCACCATAGCAACATTAACTTTTAAATACATTAGTATTAGACAGAATAAAATGAATTTTTGTTAATTATTCAATAACTATAAGAAATATACCCCACAAACTATATATATTTGTTATCAGAAGAAAATAACAAATTATTTTAAGACATAGCCAACTATGGTTTCCATTTAAAAAAATAAAGTTACGTCTAAAATCTCGAAAATAAAAGATGGGAAAAAAATTCTACCTACGCCACTGAATTCTTCGTAAAAAGTTGCCCATATAATGTTTTATTTATAATACTCCATCTTTGATAATAAGTGAGATATTCGCGATTGTCGTTTTCGCAAAATTTTCAGTTTTTGCCGATAGGGCGAAAACAAAAGACGATAGCTGTTCGGAGTTTACGGCATTAGCATTTTCTCGAAAAACGAGATCATGACATGTAAGCTACTTTTTTTCTATCTCTTTTAGTTTCGGAGATAGCCTATGCGGACATCGAAATTGGAACACCCTGTACATAGCCTCAAAATGATCGGCAAATAAGTTAACTACTGTTGGCAAATCGGACACACTTTCATCGGCCCACTTGAGAGAGCTATACAAAATGCCAAACGTTTTTTGGTTCTTTTCTTATAAACATTACAACTTGTAAATTTTAAAACTTCATTCTTTCTTTTAATTAGAAATAAATCAATGAAGAATGCACTCCGTTGAATACTTCTCCGCTTTCAAATAGTTTTGCTACCGATCATGATTATTGGTCATTATTTTTTTTCCTAATTATAAGTTCTACAGAATTAGTACAAAATTGTGGAAGAGTCGATTATCTCTATTATTTTGTAAATATATGATTAAAGATAAGAGTTTATTAACGACATTTGCAATTGCCTTGCTCTTTCCATTTAATTTTTCAGTGTTTGTCGATAGGGAGAAAACAAAAAACGATAGCTGTTTGGAGTTTTCGGCATTAGCAGTTTCTCGAAAAACGAGATCATAACATGTAAGCTACTTTTTTTCTATTTCTTTTAGTTTCGAAGATAGCCTATGCGGACAACGAAATTGGGACACCTGTACATTTAAAGTAACCAAAAATATCTTTTCTCTGTGACCTTAAATTGACTTTTCTCACACAACCAATTCAAATTGAGAAATATGCAGCCAGTAAATAACATATGTTGCCGCGTGACATGTGTCAAGATGGAAATAAGGCTCGCTATAATTCCATATAATACAAAATACGACCATGATTTAGTAGCTAAATGATACATATCGAATATTATGTTAACATTAAAACACTCGTTATTTTCTGTAAATATTTTTTTATCTAGTGCTTTATTTCCCCGACCAGTGGAAGATGAGTATGACTTTTCCTCATTTATTGATCCACAAGAACAAGTATGTTTAATTATTTTTTTCTGTATTGCTAGAAACTATTTTTTTTATGAATTATTCTATAGTACTATGAATCATGCACTGGACATAGAGGTAGATCACACTGAACAACCAGAAGCAATAAATGGTTATCGTATTGTAGATCTACCATACGTGCTGCAGTGGGCTACATCACTACAATATAACCATTCTAAAATTTGCACATGTGGATACCTCCGACCAGTATCAGAAGAACATAATGGTCTCAGTAATACTATCACATTCGGTTGCAATATATGCGATCGACTGTATAAATATAGTACTGAAGCCCCAACTAAACACAAAATTAACAGATTAATGGTTTGGGGTGTTATGTGTCGAAGTACTCACATCCAAACAGCAGAACTTCTATCAGCTATAAAGGTATATAGGTATATGAATATATCTCCTTTAAATGGAAATAAATTCATTGATATCGAAAATGAGTTAGGAAATCATATAAAAGCCGATGCCTTGCGGTCTGAAAAAGAAACATAATTATTATTACCAGGTATAGTTATAACAATAAACTAATAATATACGAGTCGAGGGAGATCCTAAAGGGTCCTCAGCTGCTTCTAAACTTTAGCATTACTGTCTATGATGCATGTTTGATTTCCATGATGCTACTCATACTAGCAATAAATTAGAGATCCAAGGCCAAGTCAATATTTGCAATAGAGATTATGCATATTTTGTAATTGATATACAACATTGTAATTGTACAACACGAAACCATTATTTATACAAAAAATAGAGAGTTAACGAATAACTTTTGAAATAATAAGATTTTTTTTGTGGTGCCATCTAGTAGAGAACCGATGAACTTTTAAAATCAACTTGACTACACTAAATCCAAGGTCTATAGAACATAAGGTTACCTAATTCCCTATGCCTCTGCCTTGAATTTAGTGCAAGGTCTATAGAACATAAGGTTACCCAATGCCGATTCTCCTCCTCTGAGGGGCAAGGTGGGTCAGTGACGTAGCTGCTTCTATGAACAACACAACACGATGCGAGGTTTAAATATTTTATATAGACTGTACCACAGTATAGGCACGTATAGGCTATCTTTTACTCTGACTGTATCGAACCAGTGACGTCAATCTGCGGGGTAATAATCGATACTACAGAGGCATGAAGGTCCGTTGAGTAAACATACTGTATAAGGTTATCCAACTCCCTATGAACGCTGTAGTTATGGACGTATCCCCTCCGCAAAGGTCCATAGACAAAGGGCTTGTTGTGACGTCATTGGAAGAATTGTCATTTCTGTTTTCATTTATATACATAAACCAACAAAAACTCTTTATTTCTTGAGTTTAATAACACTTGTTTAATTTTTAAATAATTATTAACATAAATATTATTATTATATTATATTAAATTTATATTATATCATATTATGTTATATTTTTCCTCCAATGACGTCACGTTTCTCACCTCACCCCGCCAACGTCAAGTTGTTCGAGTTGGATAACCTTATAACCAATACTCAACGGACCTTGAGAGGCATAGGGAATTGATAACCTTATGTTCTATAGACCTTGCACTAAATTCCTAGATTTGCTGTCAAAAATGGTCAAAACTTAAACTTCGATGAGTTCGTCTTAAATACAATTTATTTATATTGTACCTTTCAGTATATGTATTATAATCCATATACGAAGGGAAACCATTCACCCAAATTTATAATTAAAGTTTCAATTTGGAGAAATATCACTTTTAAGTTTGTCACTAAACGTGATTTTCTTTATTACATACTTTTCAATTTTATAAAACGTTGAATAGTTTCCCTCGGTTGACCCCACAGGAATACCCCATGAAAATTATTCCAATAAATAAAAACGTAAAATAGAGAATTCACCGAAGTTAATTTTCAAGGTTGGTAGACAGGGCTAAATTCCATCCTTAAATACAGCTTATAAAAAATATATAAAAATATATAAAAATATATAAAAATATATAAAAATGTATAAAAATATATAAAAATATATAAAAACATATAAAAATATATAAAAATATGTAAAAATATAATAAAAATTAATTGTGTCTAAAAATGTAGAATAATTTAAAGCGTGCCATCTATTAATGGGAAACAAAACTATGCCTGCCCAGATGTCGTTTCAATGACGCATGAGCTCTTTCGTTTACCTCGCAACCGTAGGTTTCATCCAAACGCCATTCTACTTTCCATTCCATTCAAAGACGTTCAAAGAAAAGATTGGTCTTAAAGAAGTTTGTTTTGTGGTTTTTACAGTTTTTACAAAAACAACGTTGTAGAAATGTCCAAATATTGCGTATTGGTCATGAATTTTATTATCATCGAATAAACACAAAAGAAGGCAGATATTCAATTCTTTATTTCAAAGATGATTAAGAACAAATTGTTGGAGGTAAGAACTTCTATAAAACATTTATAATGAATAGAATCTTATATTATTTTATGATAGTAAATGCATTATTAAAATGAAATTAATAAAACAAGGCATATTTCAAGAATGCTATTCTTTATAAAATCGGTATTTACCAAGGTCCTTTGTATTTGTGCCTTAAATATCGATTATAATAATAAATAATAATCTTTATTTAACGCACAAATACAAAGGACCTCTGTAAATATCGATTTTATAAAAAAACTTTCTATAGAAAAGTTGTTTAACATTTTATTTTTCATAATAAGACATGGCATTCAATTGTTTTTATTTCAGAAAACAAATGAGTAAGGAATAACACTTGAATTCTTTAAATAGCAATGTACCATTTCCTTAGGCTCATTTGATAAAGATTTTTTTCTTTTTTTGTTGATGTAACATCTTCATACCCTTATATTAAAAATTTTGTCAAAAAAATTTAAAAACTGTTAATTAAGTTAAATTTATAACATGAATCTAGATATCCCGGATCTCTATTATTTATCTTCAAAATTGAATGTAGGGTATTAAATGTGACAGAATCTTGTTTATTAAATTAGTGAAATTAGTTGGTAGATCGAAAAATAAAAATGGTTCATTTAATAGAAACTGAGCATATACACGGTGTTTCTGTAAGTTGTGGCATAATTTTAATCACAAATAAAAAGTTTAAAAGGTTTGTCTTAAAAAGATAAAATTTGGCAAATAGTGGAATGTTATCATGACAAATCGTTTAAGATTACTTTTGAAAATATGCAAATACAGGATCAATACCCTGTATAGCATTGATCCCGTATTTGCATATGTTCACAAAGGTTATTTCCTTAAAAGTTTTTTATTATGTCATAAACCATTAAATTTTCCAACTGATTCTAAAAGACTATTTCATTTTGAAATTATTTTTACACTTACAAATTTTTGATTAGACGCATAGTTTTCGAGTTATTCACAAAAAGATTTAAGTTCGTTTAGAAGAAATCTGTCAAAGTATTACTCAACGTAGCATGGATTTTCTGCAGTACAATTATTCTTCAGCATTTCTCAAATTAATGGTTATCTGTAAAAAGTATTTTTTCTAAAAACGCATCATCAATAGTACATTTTTCATCATAGTACTGTATTTGCTACGAATGATCAGCAATTTTAAATTCTTTTACTCTGTACAAATGGAAGGATACAATTGCTGTTCATGTAGGACATGCCAAGACGTACCTTTGGATATTCTAAAATGTCTAAACTGTTGCTATCAACAGTACTATTTGATTTAATCCAAAATGTTTTCTTCTAGTTGGGGTGATTGATCTCAGATTCCGTTCTTAGAGCGTTCTTAGAGCGATTTTCAGAGCGTTATCCACATCGTGAATCAATCACCCAGTCAGTAGTTACTGAAACTTTGAAACAGTTTAGCGAAACTGGTAATGTTAAAGATCTGCCAAAGGCTGGTCTCCGATCTCCGGATCTTACACCTTGCGATTTACTCTTCTAGGGCTATTTAAAATCGTGTATACAAGTGTATACAAACTACAAACTGTATACAAAAGTGTATACAAAATACAAACCGACCTCAGATTCTGGCCGACTTAGCGCAACGAATACAGCATCCCAGATCTCTCAGAAAGTCTTTTTAAGGTTATTATCATAGTCTGGGCCACTGCATTGCAGTTAATGGCAAATGTTTTAAACACTTACTGCCATCAAAATCATTTTATGGTAATTTCGTTTTGTCTTTCAAGGTTTAATAAGAGACGTACACTTAATTTTTCGTTTATTTGTTGTATTTTGTATGCCGTTTTAATTTACGGTAATAATTCAAGATACTTGACCATCCCGGATATCCCAGATTAATGTTATTGTGTATTTGAGACCCCATTTGGGTCTCCAGGTGGTTAGTGTGCATGTATTTATTTCAGAAAATATTTAAACACTTTATAGTTTTAAGAATACTAATTTATTTTAGTTTGACATCTCTATTGCGTTCATTAATACTAAGTGGCTACGAACACTTTTTACCTACAATTATTGGCTACTTATGTATTTCCTTTGTGCCAATCTTCAAAAACGCCGCCCACTTATTAAATTTACCTATGTTTCTTTCTTTCTTTATATCATCTTTAACAAGTAGCATCGATTTTATCATAGAATATTTGGCCCATAATGACCCACTACTTATGTTTTTCGACTACAAATCAAATTTATTTATAAATACCAATGACAAAAAAGACAATGATTTTACATTGAGAAACTTACTGCGCCCAAAAAATATGATAGCATAACTTCTACTTTTTGTTCACCATTGTCCATTTTCCACTGGCAAAACTGTTGATACTCCTTTTCATACCTGTTTGCCGACTTCATAGGAACCAATTTTCTAAACGCTTAAGCAGATTTTGCTAAAATTCCTGCTGCTTTTTCTATGTCAAATGAATGTTAAAACTTTAAAGATCTTTTTTTCAAAATTTTCTTGTGTAACTAATATTAATTTTGAATGTATTAAATTCAGAAAAAAAAATCTCTTTCATATTCTGTAATAAAAATGGGGGGAAAAATTTAAAATCAAAACCAAAAAATTGCAAAAATTTAAATCTTTAGACCCGTCTCAGCGATTTTTCTATAAACTGTGTTTAATTGTTTTAACGAATTTATCCGATATTTTTGGGAAATCCTGTATATGCATGTTAAATTAAATTGAATTTTGTACTAGTATCACTCCCTACAATTATTAATTAATATAAATTTATTAACCAACAAATGTTTATAAATTGCTTATAACGTTCTTCGAATAATTTTCTAAATACAACATTAAATTATTTTTAATTTATTTTTTTATAAAAGTTGTATTTCACATCTGTTATCGAAACTCAGTTTATTTACCGGATGTGTGTTCGGCCACATCCGAAGGAAATCGTTATAAGTTGGTTTTGTCTGATAATTGCTCCTGATATCAATAATTTCTATTCGATTACGTTGATTTCTATTTTTATTAATTTTGAGACAACTCGTGTTATCCACTTACAAGAGAAAGGTTTCTTTTGATGTATCACACAATGTAAAGGATGAAAAGGGGCAAATTAAGAAAAGAAATGGTTGAATAAACCAAAAAATATACATTAGATTGATTTTTTATGTCAAATGTTTAAATATAGATCTAAATATGTTAAGTGTTTTTTTCAATCTATTGCAAGAAATTTATGTTGTAATTATCCATGTTGCAAGGTCTCGCAGTCTCGCATCGCTGCGAGACTTCTAACGTATTTTTAAAATTTTTTAACGTTTTTCGGCCTTTTACCTTAAAAGTCTCGCAGCCTTTGCTAAATTTATCATCTTCGCCTTTTCGTAAGTTTTTATATTTTTAATTTGTTCGTATCGTTAACCGCTTTATATTTTAGATTTAACCTCTTATAATAATTTTTTTGGTCTTCAACCACGTTTCGTTAATATATTATGAAGGTCAAAAGGTAGACCTTCATAATACATTTTTGCTGCGCATTAAAAATTTTCTCCGTTTCAACATGTTAAAAATTTTTGATAATATCTTTGGTAATGTTTTTCTCAATTGTGAACTTCATTTTTGACTGTAAGTTTTTTATTTTAACATAATTAATTTTTCCTAATTATAAAAATTCTTGTAGTTTTCGACTGAAGATGAGGTAATACCTCGAAACTAGTATCGAAGCAAATAATAAAAAAGCAAGTAAGAGGTTAATTTTGATTTTTCATTATTGCAAGAAAGACAAATTAAGTATTACCTTTTCTTTAATGGAACAACTAAAGGATAATATACAGGGCATATTAGTCCATATTTCAGTTCATCTCGAAATTCTAAACAAAATTCATGAGTCGCACATTGCGATTACAAAATATTACAAAATGATCTTTATCGATTTTAATTACGATAAATGCTCAAAGATTACTTTTAGCAGGAAAAGATACAATATTGATTCTTCATACATATTCAGTGTTAAGTCTATTAAATGCGTTACATCTATCAAAGATCTCTGTGTGATTCTGGATTCACAGCTATTATTTTCTAATCGTATTTAGTATGTTTTTTTGAAAGCTATGAGACAACTTGGGGTTATCTTACGAACCACTCATGTTTTTTCACATCTTGTCTATGCAAAGTCTCTTTATATGGCTTATGTCAATAGTGTTCTTTAATAAATAAATATATTAAATAAATGAACTCAATTGCAGCGGCAGTGATATCTTCAATAAGATGGCGATCCACCTCACTATGCCGTTCCAGTTCGAGCTTATTGCAACCACTTATTTTCCAATTGATGGATTGGGAGAAGAGGGCTAATGAGTGGCCAGCAATATAATCAGATTTCACTCCACTGGACTCTTTCTTTTACCGATATCTGATGGGTAAAGTTTACACTACTGGACCAAATACTTTGGATGAACAAAAAATCAGAATCCAAGAAGAAGTTGTCAGGAAGAATTTAAAATCGTTTAGGTTGCTGAAAAGCACTCACAACAACAACGACAAGTGCTCAACAAGTTGCTCAAGGTATACCATTTCAACATTTAACTTAATTCGTTTATTTAATTTTTTATTCATTTCAATTATTAATTTTATTAATAATTTTCTGATTTTTGGTATGAAAATTCACAGAAAAACACTCACAGATAAAATTTCAATGAAATTACATAATTGGTAATGCTTCTTCAGCTTGAATTGTAGTTGTATAATTTATAAACGATAATAGTATGATGCAATATATCCATAAATTATGTGTCTGTCCAAATCTACCGTTCTGATAGATAAAAAGTACATTGAGGACATTATTTCTAATAATAATAATACATTTTTATATGTAGGATATATTTTTTTTATCTAATATTTTTTTTTTGTGTATTTTAGGTGACACCCAACCCTCTAAAAGTATAAATAGTACCAATTTGTCTCTGTTGTGCACTAATTAATCTTGCACTGAAATTACAAACACCTTCAAGAAAGTTACTTTGATTAACAATTAAATGACACCAACTATGGTTTTGCTGTAGTCGAACTTTCGAAGACAATTCCTCAGTTTAACAGGTAATAGTTTAATTTATCTTTTTTATCAAATTTGTTCATAAATTAATCAACACAAAATAATTTTTTTTTTGTGTTAATGAATTACAATAATGATTCTGTATTATGACTTAAAATCATAAAAAATCTTGTAAGTTTTCTGTTGCTAGATCGCAAAATAGTTTGATGTTGAAAAAATGTGACCTGAAATAGTTTTTATGCGTTTCAAAGCAAACTTTTTTAAATTGAACAATGGATCTTTAATAATTTACCTCTAAATTGTATTCAAAGCGTGACTACTAAAGCCTGATCAATTTCATTAAATATTTTTACAAATTTTAAATAATATAATACAATTTTCAAGAGCAAATTAATTTATAGGGAAAAATTTCAAAAATTTTCACTCTTAAGAAACGTTATCTACAAGTGCATTGTTGTTTACATGTATAAAACTTTAAATTAGGAAGTAGTCAGTTAATTTTAATAAGGTTTACAATGTTTCAATTTAAAACTAATAACTTGATTCTTGTTTGTAGACTCATTCTAAGTCTTTTTCTATAAGGCTGGCTGCCTATCTTCTGGGAGACCATACTTGTTTTTGAATAGTGGCCTGGCGTGGGTCTCGGCGGTTATTAGAACTTCCCAGCGATGTGTGAACATGGAAAAAAATGAATAGCAACGTTTTAATGTGTCGACAAATGATACTGAACTTGCCTCAACTGAGGCAGCGTGTAAACAAACCAGGTTTAACGAATTATTTGAGCAATTCAACTTTGGGATTTATTTCTTTAATTCTTTGCTGAACTCCTGAATGCCTTCCAGTCATAAGAGCAGCATTATTATATGCTTGGCATCTACAGTTGGTTATATCATTTCAGAAATAGCTCTACTTTTCTCTTCATGCCTATACCTTCCTTTGAATATTTATATCCTAAATAAGAAACCTCATCTATACCGAACTTACATTTTTTTTAAATTGAACTTTACATTCTTTTCTTTAGCTATTTGAAAGACTTGTTCTAAAATTTTATCATGTTCTTCATCTGTGTTAGCATGAATTAATATATAATCAATATATAGTTCTACTCCTGGAATTTTAAATATTTCTTTTAATTATTCTTGTAAAACTTACTTGCTGTTTTAATACCAAATGGTAATCTTAAAAATTTAAATCTTCCAAATGCAGTTCAAAATGTACATAATTGCTAGATTGTTCATCTAAACAAATGTTCTAAAATCTACTTGTAGCATCTAAAATGCTGAATTTAACTGAACTATTGAAACTATTACAAATTTCATCTATATTGGGAAGTTTGAATCTGGACTTTATTACATGGTTTAAGTCTTTTGGATCTAAACGTATTCTTAAGCTTCCATCGGATTTACAAACTAATACATAAATATGAATTTAACCATTTTGTGCTACTTTCTACTTGTTTAATTACTTGTAGTTTCTCCAAATTATTTAAGCATTTTCTAAACTGATCTTCTAACATAAAAGGTACATTTCTGATGGGGTTTATAGTACGTTTTATATTTTCTTCAATTTCTCTTTTATATGGTTTTAAAATTTTACCCTTCACAAATTTGCTGGGAAGTTTATGGTTTATGTGTAAATGTTTATGATCTACTTTTATGCTGTTTAATTGTGTTTGTTTATGAATTTTTACAATATCTAACTTAAAGGTCGCATCTATGCCAAGAATACATTCTTGATATTCATTTTACTAACATAAAATTCTGCTTTATTGAGTATTTTATCTTTGAATTTAATTGTAATATAACATTTACCTAATGTATTAATCTTTTTTCCGGTGTAAATTAATTGAGTATTATTTGTTTTTAATACATTATGTAAATTAAAGTTCATTATTGTTCATATTTATGTTAACCATGCAATTATTATTTTCTTTATGGTTGTTATATCGTGATCTCTTGTGTTTGAGGTTCGGGTGTTAATCATACGCCGTCTAGTTGTTAACTGGTTTATTCTAAAGTACGCATTTACATATGTATAACATTACATGTAATGGTGGTGATCTATACTACATCCCCAATCCTAAGATGAACAGGAATACATAATAATAAATTATTTAGTCAAACAAATCTACTCTAACCTAAGTCATTTATTTATATAGAACAAAATCGCTAAACCTATCCGGTTTTTTCCTAATTCTTTTTGTCATTGTGTCGTTTAACTGACTTACTGATTCTTCAAGTGAAGTAGTTTCTACATTGGGTGCATCTTCTTCAATTATCTCGTGTGATACCTCTTTTTCTATTGTTCTATTCGTAGTTTCATTTGGCATGTCTTTGCTGCCATTTTCCAAAACGTAACTTGCTACAAACTTCGAATCATAATCTTTATTCTTATTTCTATACTTGTTATCATGTCTAGGTCTTATATATATTTGATTTCTAATTAGATTACTATCATTTTCCCTTTTTATAAGGTATGTTCTGTCTCTAATTTTCTTTACAATTACACCCTTTTTCCATAAATCCTTTGGTCTTTCTTGGTACCATACAGGCTCATTATTAAATAAGTTATTATAAGTTTTTACTGTTCTTCCATTACAATACCCTTCTTAAATCTTTTGTTTACTTTCCATTTTTATATGCAATTTATTTTTATTAATTAATGACGGTTTTAAATTACCTTCTTTAAATATTAAAGTGTCTCTTAAATATCTGGACATAAGAATTTGCGCAGGCGAATATATTCCATATACAGAAGTGTTGCGTAAACTTAGTAACGCTTCTTTATTTTGGAGAAATTTTTTTATCATTTTCTTTATAGTCTGAATGCGTCGTTCTACAAGACCATTCGACTGTTGGTGATATGGTGATGATGTAACACCAATGAAGTTCCATTCTTTAGCAAACTGCTTGAACTCATAACTAGTAAACTGTCTTCCACTGTCTGACATAACGATTTTTGGTATGCCATGCCTGGCAAAAATTGATTTTAATTTATTTATTATATTTTTAGTTGCTAAATTATTATTTAAATTATAGATTTCCGGATATTTGGAGTAATAATCAACTATAATTAGATAATGTTTGCAGATGCACCTGTATCTACCTTAAACTGTACACAATAATTAGAATCTTTTTCAATAATTAATTCTACTGAACACTGTTTATATTTATATGAGTTTTTGACATGATTTATATTTAAAGCATTTTCGCTACCAATACTTAATGAGTTAACTGATTTTGATTTTAAAATAACAAAAGTTTGCATAATGATTTAATTTTTTACAATTTGAGCATGTTTTTCCAAATGCAGGACATTTATTTGCCTTATGACTATTACCGCCATCTTTTACAGTTTTCTACAATTTTACCAGCTCTACCTGATTCCTTTGAAGTTTCCTTACTTCTACGGTTATGATAAATACCTCTACTCCTATAATCTCTTTTGTCGCAGCGCCATGTTATATTGTGATCTCTTGTGTTTGAGGTTTGGGTGTCATACACACATTTGCAAAATGATTTTTAATGCCAAAATCTTTACATATTTTTCCCAAGGCGGGGCAGTTGTTTATTTTGTGATTATAAGTGCATCTGCTACAGTTTTGTATATACTTATCTGATTTATATTTCTTGGCTCTTTCATATGAATTTGTATCTTGTTTCTCTTTTCGATCGTGTTTATCCTTTTCACTGTTGTTCTGTCTTCTTACAGTGTCGATTGTTGATCCTTCTGTTCACTATGAACGATGTTGTTGCATGTTCCTTAACTGCTATTTCGATGTCTTCGTTATGACACAACACTCAATGGCTTTTTCCAATGTTAACTTGTCAATTTACAGTAACTTCGCTCTTGTGGCTTAATCATTTATTCCTATTATTAACGTAGTTAATGTTAATTCCGTTGTCAGGTTACCATTTCCTATTTGACATTGTTGCCCTTGACCTTTAATTCGCCTTATAAATTGTTCCATGGATAAATTTTCTTGTCTAGCCATGAAAAATATATACCTCTCGTAGGTCATGTTCTTTCTGGCTACGAAGTATTCTTCAAATTTCTTTTTTAATATGTCAATTTTGTCTTTTGTTCAGCTTTTAAATCGAATGTGTTGTATATTTTAATACAATCGTTCCCGTATTTGCTAATAAGACTGTTATTTGTATTTAGCTTCTTTATTAACTAAGGAAGCTAACTAAGGGAAATATTAACTAAGGGAGCGGAAGAAAACTTCGAGTTACGGAGAATCCGAGTTAGAGAAAAATTAGTAGAATTTCAGCTCTAAAGAAAAAAATTAGAAATGTACTTTTCTAATATGTATATTTAAAACAGACCTTAATACTATTGTAAGCAGGGGCGAGTCTGTGAATTTGTGAGGTGTCGGAGTCGTCTTTAATCAATTTAGGAATGTGGAGTCGGAGTCGACTATAATTAATTCGACTCCGAGCTCGACTTCTTAACTTAAATAAATAGAGAAGATATAAAAACACAAATAAAAGAAATGATACAAACATAATTACACACGACTAAATTCTAATTGATACACAATATTTATTAAATGTAATGTTTTTATAAAATATTTGTAAACACAAAATAAAATAAATATTAATTATAAATTACTGAACGTTAGTTCGTAAAAATAGCATAGCTTCTAAAATGTCATCTTTGAGTGATGCTCTCAGATCAGATTTTATTATTTTCAATGCGGAAAATAACCGTTCCACACTGACTTGCGTTGGTGGCAAAGTGGTTACAGCCCATGCACTATTTTGAAGTATTTTGGGATATTTTGCAATAGCTTCTTTTACAGTTAATTTACTATATCTGTTAAATCTCTCTACCAATGTTAATGCATTTTCAAAATTTTGTTTGAATAATGCAACATTATTATCGGATAAATCTGATTTTAAATGAGGTTCACTTCTTTTATTTTCTTCGTCGTCTAAAAATTGTTCAAAATCATTTGTATTTTCAAGAATTTCAATAATGCTCTGATTTTGTTTTGTTTCTGTAATAGTTTGAGACTCACATAACCCAGCAACTTTCTTAT